CCAGAACTTCAATTCCTAGAATTGCTTTCTACCTCTGAAGAATGTTTCATGTAAGGTTTCAGTGTAGGGTTTTTTAAATTGTGTGTTGTTTGCTTGTTTGTTTGTTTTAATGTAATCCTGTAACCCTGGCACAGAGGATGATATTATTCCTTAATTATGGACAGAACAGAGAAGTAGAAAGGTGGTATTTTCTTAAAGCCTGTGTCTCATGATTACCTTTCTTCCAGGGTTTAAAATTAGATTGCTTAATCTCAGCAAGATAATTCTTCTATAACATTCTTCTTAGAAATACAAAGGACTGATCTGCATGCCCTGTGAGCAAAAACATTTTGTACATCTATGTGTAGTGTATCTTCATGCATAGAATACAGTATATTTAGAACATATCTCCATGCAAAGCAGGTACTTCTGATTAGTCTTCTTTGAGAAAAGCCATGAAATTTCTTAGTTTAAGCACCAGATTAACCTTCATAAAGTACATACATGTCACTTTTTTTCCAATTACCTACTGGACTGTACTGTCTGAATTATTTGGCCCTTGGGCACCCAACATAACTGCAACAGTTCTGTACAAAACCAGAATGTCTAAACTAAACTATTCAGGGACTGAGCCATCTTTGTGTTTAATCCCTTTAACACACAGTCATTTATAAATGAAAAGTCATTGAATAGATGCAAAAGGAAATCCTGTAGATACTACAGAGTCTGTTGGGAGAACCTTCTCCAAAGCATGTGAACTTAGAAACTGGAGGGTTTTTTATTGGTTTTTGGGTATGTTTGTTTGTGGGGGTTTTTTTCTGGATGAGTACATGGTACCACTGAGATGGAAGATGGATTACAGCTAAGTAATATTAATGATCAGCAACTTGGAACCCATTTGTTTTTCTAATGCATTAAATGGCATAAAGCTTCAAACATGAAAGAATACAGGAGTTTGTAAGGATGTGCATGTTTTGTGCCTTAGTATTTTATTTCTTTTCACCTTGCATTTGTATTTTGCATTGGTACACTTTGATGAAAACATTATGACTATTAAACATATCTATAAAGCTGATGAGACAGTGCATATCAAGTAGAAGTAAAACACATGCAGAAGGTATAATCAACTCCCTGGAGTATTAAAGTAACATACTGGTCTATTTCTCCAGGTCTCCACAGATTGAACTCATCACAGGGAGCAAAATTTGAAGAATTAGATCACAGACAAAGGCTATCTGTGTGCAGTGGTATCTGAATACTCTGGCCCTGCAACCTGCCCAGAAGGAAAAAAACACAGGTTGATGCCTGCTTAGGGAAAGGTAGGGAATAACTCCAAGTTTGTGTATCTGACCCAGGGATTTAATCATATGGCATTCAGAGGGCGAGTTTTGCCTCTGGTGGTAGCATGTAACAGTTGTCCTCAGTTTAAAAACAAAACAAAACCAACAAAACAAACAAACAAAAAAAAGAAGCTTCATGTCCTTGTACTAGCATTCAATGTTTTGAAAATACTCACTCCTATCCCAAGATCTGTTTTCTAGTTGACTTTGCTTAGACTTGAAGCAATTTAATTTCACATAGGTCAATGCACTTTTCCCAAACCCTGAGCACTAGACAGTGATAAAAGAGTAATGAGTATTGCACTCCAAATGATCTTCATAGAAGGCACTTGCCAACCTATTTGCAGTGATGAACACATCTGCTTGCAACACAAAAGATACCAGCTTTTTCCAGACTGAAGGTGTGGGGCCTCATCCTGCAGCTATTTTGCATCAGGAAATGCTTTTCATTTATTTAACACCAGCCACAAAGATACTGATACCAAAGTGGTGTGGTATGAACAACATTAACCTAAGGGACAAGGATCAAGATGAAAAATAATAGTAAGTTGTTGTCCAGCCCTTTTTCTGAAATAATGTGAATGATCCTTGCTGGTAGCAGTGTCCTGTAAACTTAACTTGAACATTGTTGACATTTTTTTAAAAGACTCAATATGTGAGATGGCTAATAACTCTATGCTAATTAATTGATTTGTTGTTATCTTAGAAACAAGAGATGAAGATTTTCTACTGAGAGTTATGTATTACCCTGAAAACTCAGAGAACAATCACTGTGGAACTACCTCAATAAAACCAGAAAATAGCAGTTTTTATAGCAGTGGGGAGGTATGTAAACAAGCATCATCTTTACTGGATCAAATGCTACATAAAAGAACAGGCATTCCTCCATTCTTCCAGCTGCTTTCCCCTCTCTCCACTAAGGTATGAAAATGGAATTGTTTGCTTTACTAATTTATTCAGCAGTCTGATAAAAGGTGTTTCTCCCTGTAGGCCTTATCTCAGTATGTAGCTGCCAGAACAACTAGTTTCTGCCAGAAGTGGTGAGAATGTGAGTTGGTCTTCAAGGAACCAGAAAGTAACTTGTACCTGCTTGATGGATAAAAATTTGCCTCACAAAATACAAGAACACAGACCCCTACAGGGTCTGAGGGAGGATACAGGTAACTGAGAAACACACAGTACTGCTGGAAAGAGACAAGAGGCTGTCTAAGCTAGATAAGAGAGAACTGTTAACTACAACAGACATCAAAGCCCAGACTTGAATCATCTGGGCTCTTTCTCCTCATATGGTAGAAAATTATTTCAGCTTAAAGAAAAAAAAAGAAACACCTATAGATTTTGTTGAGGAACGTGACGATTGCAAGATACCAGGTGCCTACTTGAGTGAGACTTTTAGGAATGTAAAAATGCATCACACAGTAATCAGTGGTAAGCTTCTTAATACTTGTGTATGCTTTACATATTGATGATGTTACTTGCAACTGTTGCATCTTGCAGTCCTATCCTGTGGAAGGATCTGAAATTAAATTTGTCTGTGTTCCCACAGAAAATGTTTAGGAAACTTTTTCATCAGAATAAATTATTATCTCCCATCTGGTAAAATTATTTTATATTCTCAGTGTAAGTAACAATAAAAAATGTCTAGCTGAGACTCATGACATCATCACCTATCATGAATAATATATCACCGGTATGTAAATAACTCAGTAGAAACTTAGGCAGTCACATACCTAAGTTCCCTTCCCGTTCTTCACTGCTTTTTTAGGCACATCATCAGAAGCTCTACCAAACGTATGTCAGGTGTAATACATTATGTGCTTTATTTTCACTTTACTGGCTCAGAGTAGCATTTTAACTACAGGAGGCAACAGATCAGATCAGAGTATCTGCTGTCATGGAAAATATTGTCCTAGGATGAGTCCCTGAGCTGATGTTATATCCTGTAAAAATGTACCTTTCTGTGGACTCAGGTATTCACACAGCCAGAATAGCTCCTGGACAAACCAGGGACTGTCATCTCGAATGGTCCACATTAGCTGCTCACGTCAGTGCTGTTACAGTAATTGGAATCTCAACAGCTTTTCTGAGTGAGTTGCAGCTGCTCCGGTTTTGGGGTGTGGATCTGTTGGCCTGTTGTGAAGTTTGAACCCAAGACACTAGCCCTGGTCTTTGTCCCATTGCTCCCTCTATGTACTGCCAGCGTGTCCTACAGGTTTTGTCAAAAACTGTCGAGAAAGCGGGTGTCCCTGTTGCTGCTTAGGTCTGGAAAAGCTGTCGATGCTGCACTTTGAAGATTTGCCAGAGAAGAGGACAAGAACTGTAGAACAGCACAACTACAGCAAGTGGATTTTCACCCTGCAGCTCAGGAAAATACTGCAGTTACAAAGCACTTTCGATTTAAAATATTTATTTATTATTTTTGTAGCTTAGGCTGCCATCAATCAGACTGCAGCCTGGCACCTGCAGGGGCAGGTTGCAGTCGCTGGCCCTTGAAAGGCAGACATCAATAGAAATGTCCTCTGCCCTGCCTGGGCTTTATTTAAGCAGTTACAGGGGGAGGGCGGTGCGGCTTTGTAACTCCTGCCTTTCCGGGGCCCAGCTCCTCATAAACCTTATAAACCCTTACATAATCCTTACAAAGCCGCAGCCCGGCTACCGCGGGGCCCTGGG